TCTGAGATTGTGGATTTGGGGTTTTCATGAGCTGTAAGCCATAATCATCACAGTTATGACACATCACGGCTTGAACTATCTTGCTTTGCATGTAATGAGTCTATCTCATATATTAGGTTCACCTTTTAAGTTGCATTACTGAAATAAATGAACTTTTGCACGATATTCTAATTTTTCGAGTTTCACCTGTACATAGTTTGTATATGGAATACCATTGACAGACCAATTTTAAGCATAGAATATTGCCTGAGCCAGTAATATATGGAATACCATTGACAGACGAATTTTAAGCATAGAATATTGCCTGAGCCAGTAATACTTTGAAACAGAAAAAAGGGTTTTAAATGTAACAATTGTATACTGAATAGGTGTAATAATTTTTTTTACTAATATTTTATTCTGTTTTTATTATCTTTCTTAAATATTGGATTGAAGGGCACGCAAAGCCCTCTCTATGGGCAGTAGCACCATCGCACCATTCTTAGGCCTTCAGCTGGGTTTTATAAAACCTTTTTCCTTTAGGCCTCCTCTGCCGTGTGCAAAAAAAAAGGTTCAGTCAATCAATCAATTTCAACATCTCGCAGAAAAAAAAAGATCTCGCAAAGTTGGAATTGATTGATTGAACTTCTTAGTCCCACCAAGTCTGCTGTTACCACTGCAGCCATGCCCACCCAATGGGCTACACCCACCCAATGGGCCATGCCCACCTGGCACCCGATGATGCAAAAGTGGGTTTTGCGTTGCAGTTTGGGCACTTAGCCTCTTAAAAGGTTCGCCATCACTGCCCTAAGTGGAATTTTCCTCCAGTTGTGTTTTCCCATGTATTTTACCAGGAAACATAGATAGGGCAGGCTAGAAAAGTCAGTGCCCTCCTAACCATACCCAAGCACACCAAATTTGGTGGTGATGTCCATTTTGCTCTATGAGTTCATGGTGACCTAACCCTAACCCTAAGTGTAATTTTCCTCCAATGGGATTTTCACATGTATTTTACCAGGAAATATAGATTGGGCAGGCTAGAAAGGTCAGTGCCCTCCTAACCATACCCAAGCACTCCGAGTTTGTTGGCGATATCCTTTTTGCTCTCTGACTTCATATTGACCTAACCCTAACCCTAAGTGGAATTTTCCTCCAATGGGATTTTCCCTTGTATTTTACCAGGAAATATAGATAGCACAGCTTAGAAAGGTCAGTGCCCTCCTAACCATATCCAACTATTCTGAGTTTGTTGGTGATGTCTGTTTTGCTTCATGTTGACCTAACCCTAACCCTAAGTGGAATTTTCCTCCAATGGGATTTTCCCATGCATTTTACCAGGAAACATAGATAGGGCAGGCTAGAAAAGTCAGTGCCCTCCTAACCATACTCAAGTACTCCGAGTTTGTTGTCGATATCCCTTTTGCTCTCTGACTTCATGTTGACCTAACCCTAACTCTAAGTGGAATTTTCGTCCAATGGGACTTTCCCATGCATTTTACCAGGAAACATAGGGCAGGCTAGAAAAGTCAGTGCCCTCCTAACCATACCCAAGCAGTCCAAATTTGTTGGCGATGTCCATTTTGCTCTTTGAGTTCATGGTGATCTAACCCTAACCCTAAGTGTAATTTTCCTCCAATGGGATTTTCCCACGCATTTTACCAGGAAACATAAATAGCGCAGCCTACAAAAGTCAGTGCCCTCCTAACCATACCCAAGCAGTCCAAATTTGTTGGCGATGTCCATTTTGCTCTATGAGTTCATGGTGATCTAACCCTAACCCTAAGTGGAATTTTCCTGTAATGGGATTTTCCCACGCATTTTACCAGGAAACATAGATAGCGCAGCCTACAAACGTCAGTGCCCTCCTAACCATACCCAAGCACTCCGAGTTTGTTGGCGATGTCTATTTTGGTCTATGAATTCATGGTGACCTAACCCTAACCCTAAGTGGAATTTTCCTCCAATGGGATTTTCCCATGTATTTTACCAGGAAATATAGATTGGTCAGGCTAGAAAGGTCAGTGCCCTCCTAACCATACCCAAGGACTCCGAGTTTGTTGGCGATATCCGTTTTGCTCTCTGACTTCATGTTGACCTAACCCTAACCCTAAGTGGAATTTTCCTTTAATGGGATTTTCCCACGCATTTTACCAGGAAACATAGATAGCGCAGGCTAGAAACGTCAGTGCCCTCCTAACCATACCCAAGCACTCCGAGTTTGTTGGCGATATCCATTTTGCTGTCTGACTTCATGTTGACCTAACTCTAACCCTAAGTGGAATTTTCCTCCAATGGGATTTTCCCATTCATTTTACCAGGAAACATAGATAGGGCAGGCTAGAAAAGTCAGTGCCCTCCTAACCGTACCCAAGCACTCCGAGTTTGTTGGCGATATCCTTTTTTCTCTCTGACTTCATGTTGACCTAACCCTAACCCTAAGTGGAATTTTCCTC